TGACCTGTCACTAAAGAGGAAGTGTCCTTCACTTGGTGAACAGAAAATCTTTCGCTGACATCGAACAGTGGCGTAATTTTGCGTCTCAATTGCAGAAGTCATACATGTCCTTTTATCTTGTGTTTTATTTTTGCAAGGAAGACTCACGATAAAAGTGACTTCAGACAGCTCATATACATGATGTAATGCCATTTATGTCATCGCGTTTTGCAGAAATGTTTATTCATCAAAGTGGGAAAATACTACGGCATAATGTTTCGTATTAAGAATTAAATTAAAGAAGGCTGTATTTATATTTGCCTTCCAAAGTTGGCTGATTTTTATTTTAATGCAAAGGGGCTTTGTTCCTAAAGGACTGTTGTTTTCGTTTTTTTTGGGTTGAATCACTATAAACGGCGAATCACTTTTCAAACTGTTGCCACCAAATGTTAGAGTCCTGCATTATATTTCAAGAAATTAAATAATGAAAAATCTGCATGAATGTATGTATATTTCTCGCATTGTGATAAAACAACGGTCCATAGAGCCATCGCATTTTGAATGACGTAATCCTCCTACGAATATGGACATTTGGAAGACCAAATTTGGAATTTGGTTTATTATCGATTTCATATTTTGTAAAACTTTAACGAATTTTTGAGTAACACACTCAACGATTTAAAAGCGAGCAATGTCAACACTCTACGGGCAAAAAATACCTTTTTATTTCCAGCTCGCGGAACTGTGCATCGGAAATTCTAAAGATACGCTCATTTTAAAATTATTTTGCGACACTGCTGTTGAACTGAATTTTATGGTTTAAGTGCAAAGAACATAATATTTAATAAATAAAAGTAACCCAAAAATCGTTTTAAAAAAGACCCCTTTGGGACGTAGTTTAATATCTGAAACTTTCAGACTTTTCTTTATCATTTTAGGCTAATTTTGGATTTCTTTTTTGGCGGGGGGGGGTCGAAATTTATGATTAACCGTAAATTATACCGTAAATAATATGGTACCAAACACAGATCGTAAAACGTTTTCACAAGCTTCGTTTTACATTTCTTATACAGTTTGTTAGCAATCTATTAGTTGGAATGATATTTTCTCTGATATCTTCAACCGAAATTAAGACAAGAAATAAAATGTACCTAAATATTATCAATGCTATGGTAAGAATTCCAGCTGAGCTAGCTTAAACAAAACTCTCACACAAATGCTGCAGGCATTTTACTTTGCCTTCAAAAATGAAAAAAAATGAAATTGAATTTTAGACGATCAAAATTGATACCAAAAGTTATCCATTAAAGTAGGCATGACATACCTGAAATTTTTAAGATTTTAAAATTATCAGATCTAAAATTTTTAATATAACAATAGAAAACATTAATATTTTTCGGAAGTTTATTGCTTTTTTATTTTCTACTGTATCATTTTAAGTTACAATTTCATTATACGAAACTTGAATGTATTGAACTTGAATGTTTGTTATTTGTTTTGTAATATTGTTCTGCATTGCTAGCATTTAAGTAAACAATGACATACTCAAACGCTGAGATTGTAGGTAATAACGCTTAATAACCTTAATTTCTCTTAATAATAAATATGTAAGAATACAATTATGTCTAATACTTTAGAAATATTTTGCCATGTTAGATCGATTAGCGGCTGAGTTGATAAGCCTGCTGAGCACTGCTTTTTTCGAACTGAGTTTGAATTCCCTCGAAAAGAGTGGTTGTATGGGAATCAACAACATTTGTAATGCAACGTAATCACGCGTCACTTTTCCCTAGAAAATTTTCCACGAAGTCTTATATGACCTCTTGTATTTTGTTATAATCATTAAATAATTTTGTCATTTTTAGCATTTTGAATTTCAAAAAAAAATCTTATTTTATATGTCGCAAGCATTGCAACTGAAAAACCAGAAAGTAACATGATCAAAGCAAAAAACGATAGTTACGTGAACTTATTGCTATTAAACTGATATAGCTTTGTTCAACAGAATAATATATCAAAAGAGCCTAGGTATCATCAAAATAGAGCAAAATTAACTTTCTTTAATTTAAACTTACAGTAAAATTTGTAATTAATTTCATTAACATCAATGTATATTTTGCATATATAAAAAATAAATTGATACAGCGTTTGTATTTTTTTAATTTTCGCGCATAAAAATAATGAGAACTTTTTTAACGAAATAACTTAAAATAATTCTAATGTAATAAATGTAACTGCATTTTTACAAACCCATTCACCAGAATAAGAACTGCGGCTTCAAAATAATCGAAAACGTCATTATATCTAACTGTTAATATTGGAAAAAAAACTTTATTTTAGCTCTCAACCGAGATAGTGGTTAGTGATACTGACTGCTGTAACGAAGTGCCGGGTTCGAATCCCAAAGAAGGCGTGGATGTTTGTAAATGTACCGTGTCATACTTTTTACCTTAAATAATGCAAATAAATTGATATTTCTTTTGAAAACCGATATTCTCATTTAGAGAAAAGAAAAGTATATTATTTTATTCCCTTTTCTCGAAAGAGGCTGTCCTAACGATTTCGAGCATTCAAAAGCAGTCGAGCTAACAAAAGTATTTGACTTGGAATGCATTCACAAATGAAAATTCTGTAATTATTTCCAGGCCTTGAAGCTGTCTGAAACGAATTGTATTTCTTTACACTACATTATTCATTAATGCATAATTTTTTACACCTCATCTTAAAGAAGGTTTATTCTGCAGCTGAAAAGCCAGTTAAACTGTTAATTTTGTAGATTACTTATTGAATAAATAATTACGACATTTTTGTGTCACTGTGGCTCTTATTTCATTTAAACATCATTCATTTCGAAAAAGTATAAGATATTGAGCTAAATATGAGTACTTTATTAAGCTTTCGCTTTAAGATTATTACGGGAATTTTGTGTGTGTAAGTTTTCAATATTTAAAGATGGTAAATTAATTTCAATTTGTTTTTGAGTATTTAAATAACAATACTACTGTAGAGTAGGAAGAGTTGTGAAACACCGTATCGATGGCAATATTTGAAGAGTTATCAACTTCATTACATTTTTTAGTTTTTATCATGCAAACTTTTTTTGTTTCATGTCCCAGTTTTTTTTTTTTTTTTTTTTTTTTTTTGTGTGTGTGTGTGTGCGTATGTGTGTAATTATTTAAGGAAATGGAAATGTAGATTTTCTGCCAAAGAAAGGAACGATCGTCCTCCAAAAACACAGAAATATGACCTGCTTTCATTCTGTTATGTAATTTAGCAAGATTTGTAATTCAAATGCAATTCAAATTTGTGCATAAATGCTAGAAGAGAAGCTTGTATGTCTCCTGAACAAGGGATATAGTATTCCTGATTATTCTTGTGCTTCTCTTGCATCTTTTCGTTTTTGACCAGACATGATTGCTCAGTGCTCATCTTTTTTGCATTACACTCAAGAGTTCACCCGCGTCTTCGCTTTTATGACTCTGGACAACCTATAATCAGAGAAAATTTAAATACTCGCTCATACAGTTTTAATTCTGCCACTCAGAAACTTTCTCCCTCCTTTCTGCATGGCTTCGTTGTGTGATTGGAAACATACTCGACGCGTATTCCGGAGGTCCATGTTCGAGTCTTATCTTTCATCTTTCGTGTTTCTTACTTCCGAAATCCTAATGACTCTACACTGGGTGCGAGCTATAAAAGGTGGTGGATGAGGATTCTTCAACCCCAAAAATTTGCGATTGGGTCATCTAATCCCCCATTCGCCCTTTAAAAGGCGGAGTATATAAGGTATCTTCTCTCTTCTTTCTGCATGCCTTCGTGGTGTAACGGTAGCACGCTCGGCGCGTATTCGAGAGGTCCTGGTTCGAGTCCCGGTGACAGCATTTGCTCATTTTTCATGTCTCTTGCTTCAAAACAATCTAATGTCTCTAGAAGGTAAGAAGTCTTTGAAGTATAATTTTTTGTAGAGTCTTTCCGAATGACACAAGGAGGCAGACTACCGGTAAGAGGAAGGACGGATGGAGCCTTTATCTTTCTCCCGAACAGATGTTACCTCCGCAGTCCTGCTGTTAGCTAGAAGGTGATGTAGCCACCATCACATACGTATGGATATCAATAGAAAAGAATGGGATGATTTAAGTCTTGTTTTCATTATGACATTGTCAAGGTATTGAAGGAAATTTCGGTTCGTTTTGAAGTTTTATCTGAGTTGAAATTCGATTTTTAACAGTTAATTTAATGTTTTTCGCGATGTGTGCAAGAGTCAGCTGCATAGGCATCTTGCTTACAAGTCTTCTGAAGAGACGTTAATTAAATCCAGGGTAGACCTGAATGTTGCTTGGAAACTGGAAGCAAACACCTCTTGATAGAGGTCAATAATTCGATTAACTTTGGGACTGAACTGAGTGAAGTGGGATATGTTACAGATCTTTTCGCGTCTTCAGTTCGAAAAATGGAAGACATTGAATTGCAGATCTTTCAGCAAAGCAGAGCACCACCTCCACTTTGGGAATCATATGCTAGACAAGCTGAATTGTCGATTTCTACGGGAGTGAACTGGCATAGATGGGTTTATATCGTGACTGGCAATAGTTCTTGATTTTACCCCACAAAGAGTTAAAGCAACATACCAGATATCTGAACTAGAATATGGAGAAAAACTGCTATGAATTATGTTATGAGGTTAATGTGCTATTAATTATTTTGTGGTGTTAATGCTGTACGAAATGAAAAATATTAATTTTGTTCTGAATGTTTTTGAGAAAGTCCTTTCGATTCATTTCATATAGTACGCACTTCGTAGAAACCTCGTGAAATCCCACCATTCTCTTCGAATATGCTCTACTTTTTGCTCTCATTACTGATATTACAATGAGAGGTGCATAATAAATTGTCTTTAAAATTGTATTTTCAGTATTCATTGACTATGTGTCTTTTGCCGTGTTTAATCTTTTTCTTTTATACATTTAACAATAAATAATTCGTCATGTAATGTTAATGTTTTTAATTTTTTTCACCCTCAGGCATTGCTGAAATCTCCAATGTTGATAAAATGCCATATACTAGTCTGATGTATTCTTCAGGACCTGGATACAAAATAACAAGTAAAGGTAGAGAAAACATCACTGGAATAAACACAGGTTAGTACGTAAATTTTCAAATAAATTTACCCAAATAAATATTATTCTTTTTACCACATACTATCGTTAAAACTTGATAGCGCTTAAGTTTATAGAAAGAGACACAATACAGGCATAAAGTCTTAAAAACTTGAAGTGTAACAATTTCTAAGATAAGAATTATAAAATGTTCCTCCAAGGCAGTGGAGGCCAACCTTTAAATTGACGCGATCCAATTGACAACTTAAAAAATTTCGGACAGCCAGAATTATATATTGCTCTTTTAAAATTTTAAATGCACGTAATATATAATATATAAACTGTAAAAATGTTGGAGTATTAATATGTTAAAGAAAAAGTGTTATTATGTCTTTATATTATTATTTAATTGTAATCTGGTGTATACGATGTTATGGATAAATTCATGCAGTCATTCTGATGTACACTGGGGGGGGGAACTGGGACAGTTCTATATCTCCCGTTCTACTGGGCCATTTGACGAAATTCAACTTGCGTCTTAGGATATATATTAGACTTATATATAGCATTAATCTAACATAGGTATTTTGACACAAAATCGGACTTTTTCTGAAATAACATACCAATTTTTCTTTCATATTTCGATTCTACGACTCAATTTTATGCCTAGATATTAAATTTTGTAAAACTTGGTGAGAAATTTACGGAGAAATTCAAAAATTTATCTTGGCGCAATTTTTTCTGTTTGCGCCAAGAATAAATTCACTTGGCGAACTTAAAAAAAAGGCACTTCGTTCCTATCTTTTTACATTGCGCATGATCGGAAAAAAATGTCACATACTTTCAAATAATTCTAGCAAAGTGTCTAAACCACATCTGATGTTTTATCGCTTTCAACAAATATGCCAAATTTCAAAACGCACTAGTATATAACTTCATATATATCTTCGGAAATTTTGAATAAAAAACTGTAATTTTTGCAAATGTGCTTAGAAATACGTCTACTTTAAGATGATGTCAAAAATATTTTATAGATTATAATTTAATTTTTTTGAAAAATTTATAAAATTATTTTAAAATACAAATTTTAAAAATAAATCATAAAAAATGGGTGAGTTTTATTTGGAATGAACTTGAATTTCGAAATGTGAAAAGAAGAATCAAATAAGTTTAATAAAAAAAGAGAGATTAATAAATATATACCAAACTCAATTAACATTGAGGAGCTAAAATTTTGAGAGCTATATTTTCAAAAACAACTCATGCGATTTTTACAAACCTTGGTAGTTTGGCGTAATTTGAGTCGTAGAATTGAAATATGGAACACAATTAGTGTGTTATTTCAGACATAGTCCGATCGGGCGTAAGTGATTTGCATAATATGCTTGGAAATTACATCGGTAACTGTTGCAGAAAGCTGTCTAGAGGCATACGAAGCACTATGCCAAGTAGCTTTCTCTCAGGAAACAATATTACATTTTTTCGAGAGTACTTTTGCAAATTCTGAAACTTTTTAGTCTTTATTTCCCCTTTCAGAAGCTTTAGAATGTGAATTTTAATTATATACATCTAGTGTATTCTAATTTTAGTGCAGTCGTTTTCAATTTTACTTTTCACATACCCCTTAAAAATATGTATATAGTTACTATACCACTTCTGCAGAGAAATAAAACCACATATTAATAAGAGCTAAAATTTTGCTAAGATTCAAACTATAATTTTGTTTCTTTTCTTTAGTTTTATATGGAGTCACTGGATGAATACAAATAACAAGTTATTTGGTTAATACTGCTGTGTACAATACTAAATTTTTTAACAATGATAACATCACTACATATTTTAGGTCATTGTCTTAAAACCAATTCTTACTGGCATTCGTTGTCGTTTGTTAGGCCTTGTTTGTGTCATTAATCTAGTTCCTTAAAGATCGTTGAACCGTTTGATGAAATATGCTAAAGCACTGCTGCTAGGCTAAAATCTTTTCATTGTGGAAAGATCTAAGTAAACGCTTGTATTTCTGAACTTCGAATGTTACTAAGAAGTTATCGGTATTTCATAATTACCATTTTCTTAAATGATCGCAAATCTACGAGTTTCGTAGTTACTATGGAAGCGTGAAATTAAAGCGAGTAGATCACAGTCAACTTTAAAATCCGCATGTAAAATAGATGTCATATAAGAAGTGCGCACGAACCACGCAGAATTCTTGGTACGACCGGGAGTCCCTTTTCTTTGTTTCCGTGACAACTGCTCGAACTGGAGCTTCATATGTAGGGTGTTTCCAGGAATTTATGTTCTAGGAATTGATCTCTAATTCAATTCCTAGAACTTACAAGCAATGCCTATCCACCAGAAAAAAGTCTTGACATGTTTATGCAGCTATCCGGTGCAGCACTGTTTAGTACAATGTAATTTTTGACTGATACAGGCGCATTTTTGTAATTATGGAAGATGCAAAGAGCAGTCCTTTTTACTTCCTTGTACGAAGTAAAAAGGAAGTATTGTAATCGCGAAAAGTTTCAGGCAGCATATTTCAACGAAAATATCCATTTTGATCGCTATAGAATGCAATTTAACGATGTTTTTGCATAATATCTGTACGTAAGGACAGAATAAAAGACTCGTTTCCTCCAAAAAAAAATTATAAAACTGCTTTAAAATTAATTCTGAAGAGAATTTTTCGTGGCGTCTGTACGAACGTATGTACGTACGTGCGTACGTACGTAAGTATCTCGCATAACTCAAAAACGAGCAGCCTCAGAACGTTGAAATTTTGTATATAGGACTGCTATAACATGTAGATGTGCACCTCGTATTTTGGTTGCAATCGGCCGCATCAAACGTATATAAATATATTTTTATATATATCCACTCTGTTACCCGGCTCAGTGATCTCAGTTTCTTTATTCTTATATGTTTGTAAATTGTACATTTTTTGCTTTAAAAATGATTGAATTATGTAGTTCTTGTCTTCCGGTTAAGGTTTTTATGCCTTTAGTAAATCTGTATGCAATATTTTTAGAGTTATCAACAATTTTAAAGTTGTTTAAGTGCCGCTACGCCTTTTTTTTATGGCGGCCATTGATTGTTTACATTTGAAACAGCAGACTAGTGGATTTGTTGCCAATCTAGAGAAACTTAGCTTCTCAACAACAAAGATAACGCCTTCATTTATTATTGCCAATTAAATCATGCTTAATTCTTTTTGGAATTTTTTCGAGGAAATAAGTGTTTAAGATTTACTGCGTAATTTTGAATATAGATATTTTGAGTTTTTATGTATTTTTGCCTTCTCGCGAAGTGAGAACTGAATTAATTGAATGAGAAATACTCAATCGTCTGTGAAAAAATGTTTCTTTTTTGTTTTGTTTCCTTAATTTCTTTTATACATCATTCTAGCATTATTATAGTATTTGAATAGAACATGCGGCAACGATTAGATAATTCTATTCTTTAAATGATATAAATTTTGTGCATTATGAGTTATAATATGAACGAAATATAATACTGTTAAGTGAATCTAGGACCAGAGTGTCGCTATGGTAAACAAATACTAGGGTTAATTTTAAAAAATGCCTTTATTTTATTGTGGTTTATGCGCTGTCGGCGAAGTAGATTTAATTCAATCCAATAAGTTTAAAAGAAATGCAAGAAAAAATGCGTATAATTTAATATTCCGTACAAGGAAGTCATGTGGTATACACATCAAATTTTTTCTTTTTGTAGAAGGAGTGTAGGAAATCTTTAGAAATCGTTCAACCTCTGCGAGGAGTATTCTGTTCTCATAATTCGCTTACCACATGTGTTCTTATATCAAAAAAAAAAAAAAAAAAAAAATTACTTTGTGTTCTATTAGAAAGTGTAACCATGCCATAAACAGGCAGTTTGAGGAGACACCAAAATTGTTCTTAGAGAACATCTTAAATAATTAGCTTTTCGTTGGGATACGTGTATTGAATTAAATACGGATTATGTTGAAACCTTCATTGTAATATCGATGAAAATTCATAAAATAAATTATTGTGCCTAAATTCCTAGAACTTCATTTCAAAACATCCTTCATACCTCATTATTGACTTCGTCATAATTAGATACTCAACTTCTTTGGTCTCTCGACATTGTACTCGTATTTTGAGCATTGTATTTTTATGTTAAAACAAAAGTACTGTACGCTCTATAACGTAAGTACTCATTTTAAAAAAGTAACTTTTTCATTCAGTACTATCCCAAGTATTTTGTTATGGAATTATGCGGTATGACAGTGTCATCAAATGCGATGTCACCAACAGGATTTCGTATCCTGTATCTTGAGAACATTACCAAAAAAGCTTTTCGAAATATTGATAGTAAGTTTCTATTATTTGAACAAACCACTAAGGAGATGTTCTGCTGTCTGCTGCTTGGTCCTTGAATGATCCCCGCAAAAGTGTACTGTGTATGATTTTTTCAATTTAGTATGTTTCTGCATGTAAAGCTGACATTAATTGTTCGTGTTTAAAATTTTTTAATCTTCGATACAGTCCAAAATTGGGTCACTGGATTAAAGAAAGTTTTAACGTTTTTTGCAAAGGAAAATTTCATGTTTTTGTATATTTTCAGTTTCCGGTATCAGAATTTCTCTTTTGTTAATTTGTGCTTAACGTTTTTTGTTAATTGTGTTGTGTAATTTTATAACCCACTGTGAAATTTGTTCATACATTTCTCACATTACATTTTGCAATTTATTAATGTATAATTCACATTACTAGCATTTATTTTAGAATGCCTTATCTATTTAAAAGCTATTGATTACTTAATTATTTATCTGTATTTCCAAAGAACAAATGTTTCTCATCTATTACCAAATTGAGAGATTTGAAGTGAAGCTCAATTAAAGATCTAACTTTGCTCTAAATTTTTACTAGTTCTAATTGCAACAAATTAATATTTTTGTATTTTCGAACAGTTCTCATTTAATCCCATCATCTCTTTTATACAGCTCACAAAGATTATGTTCAACAAGCAACAGTTCCTCGCTCCACAGCAACGCATGGTGGCGAAGATGTCGGAGTTTATGCTATTGGTCCCATGGCCCATCTTTTTGTTGGTGTCTATGACCAGCACTATATTGCACATGCCATGGGCTATGCTGCCTGTATTGGGGCCAACAAGGACCATTGTCAGGGAGGCAACTTATATCGAAGCACAGATGGTGCAAAACAGGTTGGTGGCTGGAAGTGGTGGGTACAGATAATGGTTGCTGTAGCAGTGATTATTGCCTACTGAAGATAGTAAATAAATACAAAAAGCGCCTTCATTGTAAATTACGAACTAAGACTAACATAATCCATGGATGTGGATTTACCAGAGTTGTCATGGAAGAAACGGGAAATGGAAAGTGATTTATACGAGACAATAGTGAAGAAGGAAGCAAAAATATTAATGTGAACATTAAAGGTCCTTAAAGCTTAACAGTCACCTGGGACAAAGAAAGTGACTTTGTATACTTAATTCTGTTTCACATGATAAAAATCACTAAATCTTTGTATACTTAATTCTGTTTTCACATGATAAATACGTTTATAAAGAATGCGTGTAAAAAAAAAAAGTCATTGTACCTACGGAAGAAAGGAAGATTACAAATCTGCATTTGAAAAAAAAAATTCTTCATGAACAAAACAGAGAAAAAAACAACTGTTTTACACAAAGATTTTATTCATTTTCACTTTCTGACAATAAACGGCAAATACCCTTGTATATAACTGGAATATCACTATAAAAGTTGTAGACATCGGTTTTTTTTTCCTTCTCTATTGATGAAATACCTTTGTGATCTCTTTGTGTGAATTGTGTGAGCGAAATCAGCATGAGTCTCCTCTACTTCACTAGCTGTTATGCAGTCTATTCGTGGGTGCCTGTTGTGCCACGAATAAAAATTATTTTTCTTAAAATTTAGGGAAAAGAACTTCGAAATTGGCTTGGTCCGCTTGTATTAAATCAAAATGAAACGCGTAAAAAGAGAAAGAAACATTTATTCTGAATTCGTGTAAAAACATATTTAGATATATATTATTTAAAATGTATCAGATTAAAAAACTAGGGTTTTTCTATTTAATATTTTCGGCCGTTTTGTTTTGAAGGTGAATATTGTTTGTTTATGTAAAGTAAGATGTAATTGTGAAACCGAATAGTGCTCTTAAAGGGGTGGAAGAGAGGCTTCTAAAGCATGATATGAAATATATGGCAGCCAATAATTTAGGAGCTAAAAATCGCTGAGCTCTTCGTCAGGAATTTGTACATTATATATCATATTTTATTAATATTTCACTTTGTAATTAGCAACATAATTTGTACATTATGCTTAATAAGCCAGTTTTTGTATTATAACTAATGGTTTCTTATTTTTTTAATTTGTAATTCATCTAAAAATGAATAAACAATTAAATTTCATTGAAAACATTGCTTTTGTATACATTTTCTTAATTTTTAAGTTAACGTGGTTTATAATTAATAGTTTTATAAGACTATAATTCGTTAAGTTTAAATTATATATAGAGAGAGAGAGAGAGAGAAATTATAAATTTAGTACCAAAACCATAAAAACATGAAAGAAATGAAATACAAAATCATTACATTCGCGTAAGTCTCCCAATAAAAAGACCCCATAAACTCAGTGTTTTTAAACTAGAAAAAATCTCTAAAACAACAGAAATGCGTATAAATATATAAAAAAGAAAAGGAAAAGGAATACAAATTAAATCTTATCTGAAGTTATCAAGAGGAGGTAAATCAGATATTAATTAGAATCAGCCTTCTAGAAAAACCACCGTGTTTCTGTTCATCCAAAATTAGCTGTCAAACGATTTTAAATTATTTAATTATTATAGTTCATCCGAAAATTTCGAATGCCTACTCTACACAGCCGATTTCCTTTTAATAATACATAAAAGAATTAAATTAATTCAGTTTGCCTAATAAAGCAAAAGTAATATATACAACTGCTAATATTAATATTAAAGCGAAATAATTTACAAAATGTTAGAGAAAATACACAATTATATTTATAAAATTTTAATGCATATTGTTTGTAGGTTTAATACCTACAAATTTTATTTTCCAACCAACAGCTAATAACGTTCTTAAGAGTTTGCAGAACTAAACATAGCACACAGACTACTATAAAACGCGGACACTTAGCTGTTCTTGTTGTCCCTTTCACCAAATGCGCATGCGCCGTCTAACCAAAAACTAGCGTATTTGGTTTGTGGCAACAGTCTTTTGCTATGCTTTAATACTTTCTTATGCTCAAACATAAAAAACACAATAAAAACAAATATAAAATGATTATCACTAATAAATAAGACTAGCCGTGGTTAAATTGCACATGCGCATTTGATGACGATGCTACTACAGTCCAGACAGGCCATTAGATATACAACATCAGTACGCAGTACTGGAATAAACAACAAACAAGGTAAGCTGATGTGGCATACAATTTTATTTCTAATTTTTATATTATTCAAAAAGAAGATAAAACTCTTTTATAATTAATAGCATAACTTACTCTCAAAATTTAAAATTAAATCTGTACATATGAAATATCAAAAATGGATTCTCTAAGAAATTTATTAATTTACTTTTTAATTCATATTATTTATTATTATTATCAAATTATTATTAGTCCAGAAGAACTAATAATACTTTCGTTTTAGCATTTTGCATCGGACTCCTATTAAATGTCGGTTCACTTTTCAAACTGTTGCCACCATATGTTCCCTGCAATATATTTGAAGAAATTAAATAATGAAAATTCTGGATAAATGTATGTATATTTCTCGCATAGTGATAAAAGAACGGTATCTAGAGTCATCTGATTATGAATGACGTAATCCTACTGCGAATATGGGCATCTGAAATCACAAATTAGAAATTTGGAATTTGTTTTAGTATTGATTCCATATTTTGTAAAACTTTAACGAATTTTTGAGTAACAAACTCAACGATTTAAAAACGAGCAATGGCAACATTAGCAGGAAAAAAAACCTTTCAGCTCAGCGACGGAAACTGTGTATCAAAAATTAGAAGATATGCTAATTAAAACTATTTGCGATATGATCTTGAACTGATTGTATGGTTAAGTGCAAAAACATGATTTAATAAATAACGGTACAACAAACGTTAAAAAACGCCCCGTGGACGTAATTTAAAATCTGAAACATTTCAGATTTTTTTTAAATTTATTATTTTATTTTTATACCTCAATCAAAAAGTAATGAACCTTCAAAACGCGTCAACCTTAGACATTGGGTAATCTACGTAGCTGAACTTTATATCATTATTACAATTATCATAAAAATCATTAACGTCATATAACATTACGCTTGCAAAACTTCCAAATCTGCTTCTTGCGATACATTGTTATCGGCATCATCTAATCTAACGGTATTGTTGTGTACCTACGGGTTCGTAACAGACTGAATGACGCAGAACCGATGATGGCCTGATAAAATTTATTTGACCAAACGAAACACTTCACAGTATCACAGAGTACAATCAGTAGCTACACTTCAAGCTACTAAGAACGTTAAACACAACGCAATGCAAAGCGCATCTAAAAGACGAATCTAACACAGAGATATCTCAGCACTCCCAACTGACGCTGAACTAAGCAAAACTGAGGAACTGATCCTTTCTCAGGTCTTATATATAGTTTTCCCCCGGCTACCAAGAAATTTCTAGAAACTTCCACTTCTGAAAATAACTGGAAGACACATGAAGCACGGATGCGGTTACAGTTACATATAGAAATCAATTACAGTTATTCAGTTATATTACCAATTACAGTTATATAGGGACAAGACCAGAATCGTGGCGATTTCTCGACGAATTTGGCGACAAAATGAATTGCCAAAACCTTCGCCATCTTGGCGATATCTCTCCAAATTAGCGAGAAAGCCATTTACTCAGTGTTAAATAGACTTGCCTCGTTTTTTCTTAATTTTCCGGCAGAGTATTGTCTCTTTTAAGCAACTCATGTTACATTATACCAAAAAATACTGCAATTTCACTAAAATTATTTACATACGTACAAAATTCGTAAAAGTATTAATGAAATTTTGTAATAACATGCATATTGCAATCCTGTATTTGTATTTAATTATTTTTTTTATTTATTCAGGTAGCTATATATTTTGATACTTTTCTGTTTACATTAACTTAGGTGCTTAAAAGGTAATACAGAAATAACAGATGGAGTTAACTTTTAAAACTCTCTCTAAGATCTTTTTAGGTTGAGTTCTTTTCAGTTGACATTTAATATTCTTCAGCAATAAATATTTAATTTTATTAGCTGACAGCAGAAGGTACTATTAAGAAGTAAATAAAACATGAAAAAGGAATAATACGGAAAGTATTATATAAGAATGCTACCGAAATATTTGAGTCGTATTTAGCATTTTATATTTCTTAATATTTTTTTATACTTCAGAAAAATTTTGATCAAATATTTCATTTCAATTTTTAGAGTGTAATCAGAACTTTTTAGTTTGGAAATTAATTTTTTTTCAGAAAATCTCTCTATCTTACAGGTTAGAAAGTCCTCTACGAAGGCATCCCTCCCCTTAGGCAGATAGCCATTGTGCGCTTTGCCATAATTAAATACACCTCTATCTTACAGCAGATAATTCTAAATGTTTGACGTAATAATCAACCGATTTAAAATTCAATACTTAGTAAATACATTGAAAATTTAAAAAAAAAAATATTAGCTTTTTTCAAATGGAATATCCAAATTTGTTTTTATTTCACTAGATGTTATGCAGACAACAGTAACTGCGTTTGATAACTGAATTTTGAACTTTTGATTGTCATATCGGCTGCTAATTATATTGAGCATACCTTTCCTCAAATAAGATTACAAGAAATGCATTTAATGACTTACTCGTTCAGAAAAATTGAATCATTTACATAAGATTAGTTTATTATTGACTTAAAAGTATTAATCACCGCAATCTGTTATAAAATGTAGAATGGTTAAAGCATCTGTAAGCTAGGTAGAAATATATTAAATTGAAATTATTTTCCTTGACTTTTTCATTCTTAATATGAGCCGAAATGATATCAGAATAACAAAGAAATCTTCCATAACTAAAATTCATGTTTAATTGACAGACGAATTTGTTTTTCTTGACTATATTCCCTCCGTAGAATCAGTCATGTTCGAAAATAGCGGAAAGTGTTTGCGTCATGTAGTATATAAAAATTCACGGAACGAGCGATAATCATCTTTTTGGAGGAAAGTCTTATGCAATCAGTTACAATGTTTTACTATTCACTTCGCTGAGGTCTTTGCACAAATGGAGAGTGATTACTCATTTCAAATGTAAAATGACCTTCTGCAAGTAATAATTTGGTTAAGATTCATATTATTGTTTCTTTGGAATAAACCAGTTTCATGGTGAATGCCTGTCATTTCCAATTTTATTTCTGCATTTACAGGAGGAAACCTTAATTTAGCTGACTTTTTTAATACGCAAAAAAGACATTCGAAACAAGTTGTAGAGGTATTATTTCTTTAATATAATCATCGACGTATACTTCTAGATAGATTTTTTTAAAACAGCTTTGACAAAAAGAATGGTATTTCTTAATTCTCTGCTAACCCACATACATGTGGCTCGTACAGGCAGCAGATTTCAATTGCTTAAGTAATTTAAAAATTGTTAAAAACTGAAGTTTCACGCACACAGGTCAGAGAAATATTTAAAATTGCCTATATTGATATAAACCATTTTATCATATATAAACCTTCCGAGCACAAATTTAAGCAGTATCTATGAAACAGAAATTATTGCTTTTAATTTTCTGTTAGTGATTCCAACTACCTTAACTCAGTGCTGCTCTTTAAACCTGCAGCAGACTCTTTTATTTTTTTTTGGGGGGGGGAAGTGAGATTAAAAGCTTATTAGCGCTCTCCTTGATGTTTTTCAGTAAAATTAGCGAATTTTCAGTCTTTTCTACTTAAAGCGTTAAAAATGTTCTATGAATGGAGTTTTCTCTCCATTACAGCGGTATAAAAATTTAGATCCCCCCCCCTCTCTTAACAAAATCTTTCCTGTTTTGAATGTCGAGACTGTTTCCACAAAATTCTGTTTCTTATATTATTGAGTTTCGTAACTGGAAGTAAACTTTAAGAGGGATAATTAAAGCAATAAAGCCCTTTTTCAGGTACCTCTACATCTGTCAAACACAATATATGAATAAATTATTTTAGATAAAGGAAATGTGTAGAGACATTAGGCATTTTTAGAAACAGGAGAAGTGAAAAATGAGCAACGCCTTTGCCGGGAACCGAACAACGGACCTCTGAAATACGCGCCCAGCGTCCAGACCACCACACCACGAAGGCATGCTAAGAAGTTGGGAGAAATACCTTATAAACTTTCCTATAACCCATTTTTAA